TTTAGCTGGCTTCTCACAAACATAACTTAGGAGGTTAAAATCAACTTACTGCATATTTGCTCTCCTTAATGCACAAAAACTTTGTTTTCATAAATTGAGGTTGTTCGTGAAAGCTTCGATTGTTTGCTTTGACTTGCCATGTGCAATCTTTGAAAAAAAGAGAAGGAAATACAAGTTAAAACCACAATGAGGTATCAGCTCACACTCAGGAGAATTACTGTTATCAAAAAGACAAAGACAACAAGGGCTGTCCAGGGTGTGGTTGCTGGAAATGTCAATTGTGCAACCACTGTGGAAAATAGCATGGAGGTTCCTCAAAAACTTAAAAACAGAACTATCTTATGATCCAGTTATCGGTTCTAGATATTTTTTCAGAAGTTCAAAGATATTGACTGGCAGAGATATATGCAAACCCATATTGACCCCAAGACAACTCAGAATACCAGGAACTAGAAACAACCTCAGTGCCAACAGAGTAGATGAGGAGTAGATAAAGAAGACGTGGGGTCCAGACACCGTGGGAGATCACTCGGCTACAACAGATGGCATCCTGCACTTCGCAACAACAGATATCAAGCTAAAGAGTATTATGCTAAGTGAAACAAGTCAGACGGTAGAGGCATGCACCCTATGGTTTCACTCACATGTGGCAAAAAAAATAAAACCTTTAGACCAGAATGATAACACAGTGTTTGCCAGAGGGAAGGAGAAGAGGGCCTGGAAAATTTGGTAAAGGAACTTAGAGGGTGGGAACTGGATCTGGTGAAGAACATGGCGTGGATACAAGATGTTCATTTTAAGGCCATACACCTGAAAAAGAGCAAAGATAAAAGAAAAAAGATCGAGTGGAAAATAAAGCATGCTGCTGTGGGTTGAATCATGCATCCCCCAAATTCACAGGATGAAGTCCTAACTCTGTACCTCCAAATATGACTATATCAGGAAAGAGTCATGATGGATGTAATCGCGTTAAAGTGAGCTCATTGGAGGGAACCCTCAAGCCTGTATGACTTGTGCTCCAGAACACACTAGAAGTGCTTGCCTGCTGGGAGGGTCATTCACAAGTACAAGGTCAGCCTTTCACGTGCCCTCTGGGGCTGTGTTTGGTCTCCCAGCAGGAAGGCACAAGCAAGAGGCTGATGCACAGGCCCAGGGAGGATAAACTAGAAGAGAAGGTGAGAAAGCGCCTCTTCAGCTCTGGGTTCCCCAGTGACTTGTTTTGAAAATCACAGACACCTGTTAGTACCTTTTGAAAAAGGCTGTGCTGAAGTTAGCACCTACCTTTCACAAGGCAGCAAATTAGCATGCAGAGAGATTTGTCTTTTTTAAAAGTACCCACTTAGAACAGAGAATGTGACTAGATACTTGAACCACAAGGTTAATTTCCTGGAATAGACATAGTCACTACGAGAAAAAATAATATTTGAGCAACAAGTGCACCTTTACCATATGGACCTTTGATGAAAAGTTTTCCAGAAAAATATCAAAGAACAAGGATTGGGCTTAGTAAAACCAGCAGTCCCTGTATCCAAAGATGTGTTTACTAGACAGCTGTGGCTTTTAAAAAAAATCACCCCGTGTCTGCTAGACACCGCCCACACAGCTAAACCCCCAAGGGTTCCCAGCACCAGCGCCATCTGGTCAGCTTCATGGGACCCTTGTCCTCTGTCACGGGACCCAGCTCTTCCTTACCGATACCCCCAAGCTGTACTGGTTGGTACAAACTGCTACAAACCAGTGGAGTAAAAAGGTCAGAAGTCTAACACCCAGAAGGAAAATCAGCTGGAGACGAGTAAATACCAGGAAGCAAATTGAGGGGCTTCAAAACATCGCTTAAATGTGTGAATGGATATTCCAGTTCATAGAAAAAGTTCAGTTCTTCAGTGAGGTGCTGATGTAGCTGATGATGGTGACATATGGGCAAAAAGTAAAGACTCTGTCACAGGCCAGATTGGAAGAGAAACAGGCTTTCTTTGCTCTCTGGAAGAGCAACTGTATCATCAAAAGCAGGCAGTGAGGCAATCTTATTTCTAAGAACTTTCCCCTAGTGTATCCTGACAAACAGAAGAAAGGACCCACCTCTGGCTAATTCTAAGCAGCCCCATTTATCAAAAAGATTAGAAATCACCTAAAGGTCCCCAAGCAGCTGATTAAATATCCACACAAAGAAAGTTTTCGGGCTGCCAAAAGAATGAGGCCCTTTCTCGGGTTGATCTCCATGATCCTCCCAGGGACAGACCTGCCTCCTTCCGGGCTCTCAGCTGTGAGACAGGAGTACATCGGGAGTGCAGGCCTGTCCAGGAACACCCCCCCCCCCGTCAGTTTGTGCATCTGAGGCACGTAAGGCGTAAGTTTGCACGTGTTCTTTGTACCCAGGAGTGCATGGATATTTTTGGAAAGACGTTGGAGAAACTAGCAGCAACAGATCTGAGGGTCAGAAGAATCAGGGACAGACCTCATTTCACAAAGTAGTCTTTCAAATGTCTATTTGCACAGTATTTAAAAAATGTTTGCATAAATAAAACTTTAAAAAATGTTTGCAATTCAATTCCTCCCCTCTACACGTTTATACATAAAATAGATAAGCTGCTTGATTTTCTTCTAGTCATTATACCATGATCTTTAGTATTTTTTAAAAATATTTTTATGCTGGAGAGCCACAGCAGCTTCAGCATGAGTTCAATCCCCGCCTGCCCCAAGGTGACCCACATGGCCACATGGCCACATGGCGAGGCAGACTACTCCTGACCCGCCCGCTGCTCCCCCCAGCAGTGCACTTCAGCCAGTCAGCCTGTTCTGCACCCCACTCTGTCTCTGGTGAATCTCAACGCCCCTGCACCACTGGCCTGTACCTCAGTTCTGTATGCTTACATAAATAATTCTTTAAACAATATATTATTATGCTAAAGGCAGTGGGAGACCGGAGGAGACTGCAGAGACATCTAAGAAATCTAAGAAGCAGGGTAAGGAAGTATCTCTGCCTGCACCCATGAGTGAGTCTTAAAGCTGTCGTTGAATAAAGCCAAACACCAGTTCATGCTGTATTCCACTCCAAATCACTCCAAGTGCACGACTCCATTTATGCATTGTTTGAAAACATGTAAAACTGAACTACCGTATTTAGGAATATATATTAAGGTGGTAAAACTATCAAAAATAAGTCAAGGGTATCATTACTATAAAAATGAGGATGAGGTTACCTAGGAGGGACCAGGCCTATGGCACTGGCTGGCCTGGGGGCAGGGAGGAGGCTCTGTGTATTCACTGAACTACCTCAGTCACACCTGCACACCAGGCACTTTTGTATTTTTAAGTACAGCAATATTAGTAAATCAAAAGGAGGCAGGAATTAAAAGAAAGAAGTGGTAATAAAAAGATAATAGTTCAGGAGGCTAATGGATCCTAATAGTTCAGGATGCTAATGACCACAGGAACATTCTGCATAAGCCAGTCAGAACCAGAGAGCTGCCCAGTCAAGTTCTCCATAGGAGTTCAGGTTGGTCTCAGCCTGGGAGGGAGTCAGTGTGAGCAAGAGCCTTATCTGTGCTCACCCTGCTAGTAGGAGGGGTCTGCATATACGGTACACACTGGTCACCAAGTCATATGTATCTACTAGCCTGGGCCCAGGACAGCCAACAGTCTATAAAGTTGGACACAGGCAAGATTTAGCAGCCATGTTGATGGAGGAAGGAATGGAAAGGAGGCCACACTAGATGGACTCACACAGGGAGTGGGGGGTGGAAGGGACTAGCACAGCCCTTGACCCACCTAGAGAAACCAAGATCCTTAGGCACCAAGGCCTAGATTGCGAAGCCTAAGATCAAAGCAGGGAGCCGACTGCTAGGGGCTGTGTCTACCACAGACCCAAAGGGTGAAAGGTGAAGATAGGGAGATGGAGCCTTTCAGATTTGATTGGAAGTCAACAAATCCAGGCTCTCAAGGAACCCCTCCCAAAGAGAAGATTCTAGATCAGGGCAGTCTCTGCAGGGGTACAAAAGTTGGGGGAAAGAGGGGAGATGTGCAAGCAAGGCCTCTCTTCTTCTGCAGGGCAGCAGCTCCTGGCTGCACCTGCCAGGGCCTCTCTGCAATGACCTCGCTCAGCAGAAGTGGCTCTTCTAAGGCCACAGGCCTGCAGCCACGCAGGCCTCTCTCAGCAGGCCTGTCCCTTTCTGGGCAGCTCTTCCTCTCTGCTTGTGCCTACACAAGTGTCCTTTACTTCTCTGTCCTTTTCCCTAATAAACCTGCTCTGAAATATAACTGTCTGTCTCGTGAAGGAACTTGCCTGGGAATTCACTGCATGCGGCTGAAAGGGGAGCACTGGTGAAACCTTTCTCAGCGTGAACCCAAGGACCCACTACCCACCCGCAACACTAACTACCCCCCACCAAAAAAAAAAAAAAAAACCACAAGGACATCAATATCCTTCTGGAAGCTTCTCCAAAGAGGTGACAACTGTCTGGGAACTGAAGGGCAGGAAGAGACAGCCTCAGGGAAGGGGCTGCCCCAGGGAGTGGGAAAAACAGTTGTGAGGGAGGGAAAGGCCCTCAGGAGTGGCAGCCAGAATGGCAGGACAGGGTAGGTGGTGTCAGGAAAGGCTTCCAGCCACAGCCCTGATCACAGGGTCCAGAGCCCCGGAGAGAAGCAGGAATGGGAGCCGAGGAGGAGGATAGCTTCCCAGGGGCAGGGAAGAAACCTGCACGCCTGGCCCCGGAAAGTGGGAGAGGCCTGCTGCACACCTGGACAGGTTATCGTCAATCTAGAAAGCTTTCATGGCTCCTGGAGGCCTTCAGGACATCAGCCATGTTCTCCAGCAGGGCCTCCGGCCACACCTCCTGTCTCCAAGAAGGACCTGCAGTTTCCTGAATCCTCAGCTTCTTGGGTTTCCTCCAGGCTGTCTCTCCCACAAGTGGGATGCCACCTGGGTCCAGTTACCTCTCATGCTTAGTCGGAACTCAGCTGAAGTGTTGTCACCTCCGGGATGCCTTCCTGGACCTGGGCAGGTCCCTGAATCGCTCTCCCGGCCCCCCGAGTCCTACCTGTTGTAGCATCTGAAGCCCACCGAGCCTCCACCACATGCCAGGGGCAGCCCGGTGCCCAAGCACCAGGCGCAATGGACTGCTCGGACCAGGGACCTTGCGGAATCGCAG